ACGGCCAGTCCGTCCTTGGGTGGGACTTTCGGCAGTGCGCATCCACGACCTCATACCCGGGACTCGAAGCTAGGACCTTCAGTCTCGCGCGCAAACGCTCAATCTCAAGACCATTGAGCAGTCATTCAGTGGCAACAACGCCTTACTATGATATTGCATGATCATCTTCTGCTGTATTCGGTGGATAACTGCCTCACACCTGAATCAATTGAAGTCCCCTGGTCACGGCTCCTCTCAAGCAATTAATTATAATGAATATGTAAGCTAAAATTTCACTGCTACTTATCAAGAAGCACCCATTATTATTATAGAAAATAAAAATATTTACGTCCATATAATTGTTTTATATTGAAAAAACTAAGTTATAAATAAAATGGGACGATATAATCTCTTTAAATTTATATGGACAACGCAAAAACTTTCGACTATATTTGTTGTTTCTTTCTCCATAAATGTTGAAGAACAATTATATTTTCGTGAATCTTATATGTTAATATCTACTTATTCTTGGGAGCGATAACCATCAGTATTATTTTAAAATGTTTATATTTATGCACTTGCTTACTAAATCTGTGTAAACACTGACCGGATGTGTCTTATTATGAGTATATATATATATGCATACCATTTTTTTGTTTGGACAGCTAACAGATGTGTTCTACATATCTTTTTTAGATAAAGCAAATAAGATTTCAGATGTATACATTAAAAGATTAATTTTATCTGGTTCAATGTTATGTAAATGACTTCATCTGAACATTATCTAGAAATATTAACTAACTTGTTAATATATATAAAAATTAGGATTTCCGTTCCATCAACGCTAAATATCTGCTCATACACTACTTTCTATAAGCCGAAGTAAATGACTGAAATATTATTGTGAATGCGCACGACCGCATCTCCTAGACGAAGCAGACTGCATTAATTAAAAACGTCCAGTTCTGGCTATCATGATTCAACAAATACACATAAATCTTGTAGATCTGCGTTAAAAGGAACCATTTTTATTTAGATATTTTTTCGCCATACACAATTTTATCGTCATTTCATTCAACTGCTTTATTAAACGTATTTGTTGGACGTCACTCTTTTGCATAACAATCTGAACTAGTTGCTTGATGAGTTTCATTTCTAGAAGATGCAGATAGTTTAGAAAGTCATTGTCATGAGTGTGTTAACTTATCGCAGACAAAAGTAACGGTTATGTCAAAAAGTAAATTTTGTGTATATTTCTTTTACAACTACTTCCCGAATGATTATTTTGGAGTATGTTAAATGTTATAGGTTATGGTTCAATAAGTTCAATATTTCCGGAAGTTTCCTCTTCCTTACTATGAAACTTAACTCAAAAGCATATAGCCAAAAAGTAAACTAAAAGGCAGTTTACTGTAGGCAAAGTCAGCTATGATATATATATATATATATATATATATATATATATATATATGAAGTAATGCTTAATGTATATTGATAAAAATATAAGTTACAGAAATGTAACAATTACAAATGAGAACTGTCTTCTACTTTGCATTAGTTATGTATTTCTAACATTAATAAGTGGTAGAATTGAACCATACATTTCCAAATAAGCATCACTGAATATAATTAAGGTTTTGGTGCTAACAATATCTATTTCCAGTGATGAATAAATCAATATGAGAAACGGGTATTTATGTTGTGCGTTAGCTAAAATTCTTCGATCTCAACTCTTCATATTGTTTTAAATCCAAATACTCCATGAATGAAATGGGAAAATATAACTTCTAGATGACTAATAAATAACAATCAATTTAACTTCTGTAAATTGCACTGAATAACTTAGTCAAATAAAAACCAATGTAATAACGTAAGTTTTATGAACTATTTAGAAAATAAATCTTTGCTAATGTAACAAACCGAAACAAAGTTTGTTTGAAAAATGTGATATGTTGCTTTAATATTTGTCGTACATAAAACTGATCACAATGATTTGCTTGTCAAACCATTTTACATGAAAATAAAGTCAGATAAAAATCGATCAAAATACTCTAAAATGTAGATAAGAAATGTATTAAGAAGAAATCGTAACTGATTTTAACTTGAACAACAAACTATTCAAATTACTGAAGAAAATATCTTAATCTCATACACTTATATTTTAGACGGAGGAAAGTTTAAACTATCGTGTGTTCAACGACAGAATTCCCTAGGTCGGTACATGCATCGGTACTGTTTATGGTAAATGATATTCTAAGCGTATTGTGTCTACTAGCCTAGTTGTTCGAAATTTTCTCTGAAAAAAATTGATCATTCAGATTTCACTCTCTTTCTTAATGCTTTGACATAAGCAGTAAATTTGCAATCAAATTATTCATGATTTATTGAAAACATCAATCTCATTTGACACACAAATCTGTCCTTTCCATAAGTCTCTGCAACTGATATGCGGAGAATAATCTTGAAAATAAATCATTTAAAATATTCACAACTTACTCTTGGTTACCATTTGACATGAAAACAGCATTCGGACAACAAGTTAGTATACTCTTTGCAACTATATCGATTTAGATGTTTAATGTTATTTTCGTCACCCAACTGAATAGTTTCATTACTAAATACTAACTAATTATACTTATTTCCCAGTTCTTTCAACAAAATTTTTATATAAACTGTACCTCAAAACAGTTCTTTATTTGCGACACAAGATAATCGTATTTCTCTCTGATAGCTTTAAAATGGTAAATTGGTAGATTTTCGTTTTGCTAAAAAGTTAATTCAGCTCGGTACGAAGTTGTTTGAGAAACGTAAAACTTTTCATATACGGGTTTATCCTTTGGTTCATTACTTACTTAGCTTTAAAAACGTTGAAAATTTCTATATGTGGAAAGCAGTTTCTCGTGACATTTCAAATAAAAAACCAAACTTAAATGAATGTCATGAATATATCAATTTTTATAATTATATATGTTATTTTCTTTCAGTCCAGGTTAAAATCTTTATATTCACTGCATAAGAATGGATATAAATTGCGTCAATAAAGTATTGTATATCCTTCTAATTACTTGAACAAGTTATGATGTTCATTTTTTGAACAAAAATGTAGTCTTTTAGTGTGAAACTATTTAAAAAGAGAGGCTATCCACAGCTGATATTCTAGTTAAATAGTACATCGTAAATAGTCGGGACAATATGATTCATCATAATACGTTCGGCAACTGATAAAACAAATTAGGAACTTACTTACTTACACCTGATAGCCCTCGTAAATTAACATAGGCTCACGACCAGGACTCTTCTTTCCATTTGTTTACAGCCGATATTTATCCTTTACATATCTCCTTCCGATTCCCGACGTAAGCTGTTTTTCAGTTTTCCTCTATCCATCCTGCATTCAGAATTCCAAGGTACCGCATGCCTCATGATTCAGGTTGTTGATTCCCACAATCTATGTCCTATAAACCTCCAACTTATCTTCCATATTTACTATTCAGATGGAAGCTGGTTTATTCTCTCACACAGTAGGCTGTTGCTGATAGTATCCGATCAACGGACATCGGGTGTCTTGCGTAGACAATTGTTTATAAATACTCGTCCCTTTCGATTATGGTTTTAGCAGTTCTCGACATTTCAGCTCCGCACACTAAAACTATCTTGACGTTCATGTTGAAGATTCAGACTGACCGATGTTGGTTGACAGTTGTTTTGAGTTCCATATGTTTTGCAGTTGTAGAAATGCTGTACATACTTTGCTAATTCTTGCCTTTAGATCTGCACCAGATTCTCTTCGTTCATCGATGATGCAGTCCAGGAACGTGGAAGTTTCCACCTGTTCCAGAGCCTCTCTATCAGATGTGATTGGTTGGTATTCTCCGTGCTGTATCTTCGAATCTTGCTTTTTCCCTTGTGTATGTGTTGAAATTTGTTATTTCAATAGAATCATGGTTAACAGTTTATTGGATTAGAAATTAATAAAACAGAATCATCTATGACAAAATTATATTAGCTTCAGAATTGGTGATCAACAGAGATTAACTGAAATCTCTCTTTTTCGTTTGAAATTCTTAAACAGTGGGCATTTAACCGTTTTCACTCAAAATTGAAAATAGGACTTTCCTTTCTTCCAGCGATTATGCAAACCAATGAGGCATATTGTTGAAATCTGACGGTTGGTATTTTTAAACTTGTGCTACTTAGGAATCTAGCACTATCTACATTTTAGAACTTATATTCCGTTTGTTTGTTCCATAGTTTGAAGAGCTAGTAATTAACAGAAGGTCTTTTACAATAAAAATTTTTCTATCGATGTAAACAATTGCATGTGACTTTTTAGTGTGTTACATAAATTGTTATTTACCATTTAAAAATAAAATATAATGCACGAAAAATAATCATGTAATCGTAAATTATAACAACTGCATTTTTTAATAACTGTGAATGTGATGAATCCCACTTAATCCAATAACTATGATCCCATCTAGCTGAGAGTCATTTCCGATGACTTCACTATCAGAATCATAACATATGGTGTATTTTGTCATCTAGCCTGATGAACTTATGTATTATTTGTAATTTAAACTTCAGTGAGTTTGAGAATTAAGTTTTTGAAGGTAAACCCGTGCTTTATATTCAACTTAAATGAGATATTGTTTATAATACATTGTAAAGAGAATCATCCATTATTTGGATATTGAAAACTGTAAGCACGTCGATTGAGACATTTGGAATTGAAGTAAGTATTCAATGTTGATTTATCCTGTTTCTGCCTGCAAGAAACGCCTTCACATTAATTTTTGTTTATAACGGTAACTACGGTCATTAATAATAGTTAACTGTAAAATTTGGGATAATGAATCTGATCATGTTCAACTAAATAGTCGACTCTCAACTATTACCGTAAATTGTGTAGAATTGAAATTACAATAATGATAAAATTATCTTTTTACATGACATTCAATGTACAATGATTTGAATTTCAATTAATTTTGTTTCGGTTTTGATTTTTTACGAAAATATTTTAGGTAACAGCTCCTCTGATACCCAATTGTAAAGGACCTGGTGATGCTACAAATTTTGAAAGATATCGAGAAGAACCATTGAAAAAAAGTAAAGTTAATAAATTCGAAGCAGAATTTGCTGATTTTTAAATTGAATAGAAAAAAATAAACAAATTAAAGAATTTATTTTTTCATCGAAAATTTAAATTCTATCCTTTCTTTTTTACCACAACTTATTATTAAAATACAAACTGAATAAGAAACATAAGGAATAGGCATGTTTTTACCTATTTGCTCATATAATTTTCCTTTGGTTTTCTACTACAATAGCATATATTTGTTTGTTTATCTTTTTGAATTTCGTTTCATTATTTTTTTTTCATATTATTGTTTCTTTGTTGGTGGTGTTCATTGTGTTATTTTTTAATATTATCTAACAATTGTTTAATGACAATGCCAATTATTTGTCAACAATTTGCAACCACACAATTTTAAAAACTGAAAGACAGAAGATGAATAAAACAAGATTATTGCTCGTCACTTCAAATAATCATAAAATATTCGTGATAACACAGCAATATTAGTTCTAACATTACAAATGGATATATATATATATATATATATATATATATATATATATATATATATCACGTTATATCCTTAATTAAAATACACTTTACCTGAAAATGTGTATGGTTTAGCCTCAGTTATGCGCCTGGTTGCTTTTTCTTTATTTGTATCAGATTAAATTATCATCTAATTGAAATTAATTGTAAACAGTTGAGTATGGAGACATTGACTGCCTTATTACTGTATGTATGTCTTCAGCCTATTATTTATTTAGTAAAATAATTGCAATTATAATAAGCAGTAAAAAAAAATAAAACAACATACACATTAAAATTATTTAAATCCATTTTCTGTTCTGGGTTTTTCAGTTCTTGTAAACCTTAATGTTTAGAAAAGAATAAAACATAAAATACTATGCAAAAAGGTTAAAAGTAAATTAAATAATATCTCTATAAAAGAATTGTTTACATTAATCTATGGAATAGAACTTGGCACATATGTTGGTTATTGGTTTTGCAAAAATAATCCTTTACAAAATAATGAAAACTATGATGAATCAGTTGTTGTTTAAATTGTAACGATTCTATAATTCTTTAGCTTTGGAGTTGTTGTATTCACTGGTTTCAAGAGAAAATGCAACATGTTTTAAGTTTCCCTCTTGATCTACAAATCTTTATCCTCTTTAAATTACTTGTAACCCATTTCGTGTTACCATTAGTTAACTAATTTCATCATAGTTGACCATTAGCAGCCTGAGATTTAAAGCTTTATGTGAGATCTGTATTCAGTCAATTTTAAAATATTATCCAATTGTTATTTAATTAGATTGCTAACATTTTAACTGATTGTTAGAAATCTTTAGTAATTGGAGCAATATGTCAATGAAAAGTTAGCCATTCAGGTAAATCTAAGTTTCATAGCAGAACCGGAAACTGTTGTGTGGCCTACTTTGATTTTTACTAAACAGAGCTTGAATCTTTTTTCTTGTCTTCTTTAAGATAACAAAGGAAACTATGTGTGTGAAACGAGGTATATAAGTGAAAGACGTATTAGTTATGTAGGACGATAATATATCAGTCATACCATAAATAACACTAAATATTTAAACACAGTTCATGTGACATAATGGAGCAACTCCTTAATGTATAAGGACAAAAATCGACTGAAAAAAAAGTAAACATCACTTCATGTTAATAGTGCTTGAAGGAACCGTTACTACTTTAAATTAATTTAAACTCCCGGTCAAAAGTTTTGTGATTCTAAAAACCCTTTTATCTGTCTTTGCTTATCTTATATTTCAATGACATTATTCTTGATTACAAATTTTATCATTTAACTTCATGTTAGTGACTTTTTTCAAATTAGCTCTAACTGCAATTTTGAACTAGATATTTAGTTATAAATACATTTGACTTAAACTGTACAATACGCTAATTTCGATGTACATAATGGATAAGTATTGTGCATCTGTAAAATTAAACATTCATACATAAATACATCATTACATAAAAGAATGAGACTGAAGAATTGTTAATGAAAATTTAAAAAGAATCATCACCAAATATATATACTTATTTATTCATTCAAACCTAGCATAACCAAATCAATCTATGCTCTAAAAACTACTAAATTCGTGTAACGTTTTGAAATAAACCGATGAAAATTCTTAGAAATAATCATGTTAATGTAATGTTCAGTGAGTTAGAAACCTGGGACCCAGGTCTCATGCTATTTGATACCCATCTAAAGAAAATCATACGTTCTTTAACGATTTCAGGTAGACTATTTTGACGAGTACCAGCTAAGACTAGACCTAAATTCTGTTTTCTGCTAACTGTCTCCAACTATATAGATCCAAAAAGTAGTGCATGCAATGTCCAGTCACTTCGAGTGGTGATCACATAGCAACCATATCGATTGAATTTAGTCAGTAATGTATCTAAGAATAAGATACTTAGTAACCAAATATCGTCTAACATTTTGTGAAACACCATATATATATCCAAGGATGTAGGTGACATTCCACTGATCACCTAGTATTCAAGCGTCTCGTTTTCACAGGATTTTTTGGCATCCTAAATAGCTCGACTGTAAATCTTTGATAGTGTCACTGGATTATTTGGATTCAAATCCTACTAGGAGTATCAGTCCCCACTACATTTCAAATACGCATTGCTGGAGACGATCAAGGCTTCTTCCTGATCACATCTTATTATTATCTATTACTAATAATGAAAAATTACAAGCTGAGTACTATGAACTTATTATGTGTTATTTCTTACTAAATGAATTAACTCAGATCCGTATTCTTTCGTAGTCTTTAGATTTTATTGTATTACGAAATTTTCTATTTTGCTGACGCTTAATAATTAACTCTCCATTTCCATTCAACTGTATTTATTTAGCTTTATGAATATCTTGGGCTAAACATTTTCGCTCTATTTTGCAGCAAAAGTTTTTACCAGAAATCAAACTTGTAAAATCACATTGAAAACATACGGTTTACAAAGTCATGGAATTTGATTCCTAAGAACGAGATAAACAGAAATTTCGGGTCACACAAGTCTCTATATTTAATCAGAGTTAATAATTTCATAACCACTTTGAACGATACACTACTGTATAAAAATGTTAGTTGAAATGAAAAAAGACACTATTAGGTATCTCATTCAATCATCACTTTACGTATTTTTGATTTGCTGCCTTATCTTTTGTGTATATGTCAGCTATGGACATTTATTTTTCGGCAAGCGATATTTCTGATATTTTGTTATTTTTCATTATAGTGATCAAGTCGATGTCTGGCTTATAAGATAGATTTTACCATTAATTTATAAGACAAACCTTGCACTTTACCTACATTTTTAAATAGTCATTCAGCTTATTTCATTTGTTTTATGTTTGAAGAAATAACTGGTTGGTAGTTGGTCAAACTGATAATTTTGTAATTATTTTATCAGCGAATACTAATTGTGAGGTAAGCTAACGGTGAAGTATTTATTCAGTTGATTTCATCTTAGTCGAAAACTGTACAGGTGTTTTTTTCTGATAAAAAAAAATAGCAATCAATTTGACATTTTTCATAGCGAAGTCAGTAAATTTAACTAATTACTATCTACTCATCTGCCTCAAGTATGAATAAGGTTATTGAAATAGCTTTCTACTGAGTAGTTTAGTTATTCTGAATATTAATTAAAATTAGACATAGTCGTTTGCTTTGATGAGTTGCTTCGAGTTTGTTAAGCTCTCAAAATTAGCACATTGTAAGACAACAAACAAACTCTTTATTTGCTTACAGAAATCATGAATGAATCTAAAGGTTTAACAACTGAATTAAAGGCTCTACAGAAATATTTTGGTTATTATAGTTCAAATAACTTTATTTCGTGTATTATGAATCCATCATAAGTATTTATTCAAATAATTCTTAAACAGATTTGTACAGTAAATCATACGAATTACGCCCGATAGTTGACATGACCTCCAAATTAATGTTGGAACACTTGAAATTTAGTAGGATATATTTCTACTAACAAGTAAGAAATCAGACTGTATCACGCGGTAAACCTGATCTCTAGCTTATACAACGCCGTTCATTTCAACAGAAGTATCATGCTTAATAAAAGTCGCTTTGAACATGTTAAAATATAGAAACCTTATATCAGTATCTGTAATACTACATATATTCAGTTGCCAACATTAGCATTATTTACTACCATGTGAGTGACAGAATAAACAAAAAGAATTAGGTATTTACATTTTTTATTAGAATTTTGTATAGTATCTCTTGATATCGTTAGATAATTTTCATAAATTTATATAAATATACATATGTAAATGTATTTTGCGTATAAAGTGTTCGTATAGATACTTTGCTATACCTTATTATGCTGTACAATATTAACTTTCAATCACTTTAGTGATCAGTGACTGTAGTACTTTAAAGTTCTTATTCACTTATGTCTGTTGGGGAATGCATGAAAGCAAGGAAGTCATATGATATACAAAATATGGTTTTTAATGGATAGGTTCTACATTATACAGTGATGCTTCATCCCAACAAATAAGGCAATGGTTAGCATCAAGGTTATATCACAAAAGAAAAGTCAAAGTAGTTCATTCGAATGATTTATCTGTTGACGCCTTAACATAACAGTTGCACTTTAGTGAGTTATATGTAGCTCTTCAGGGTTATTGCCGGTCCCAAACTTGGACAAAAGAAGAGAGCTTGGCATGAAACCTGAAACCCCATTTCGTAGAAAACGACCTTGATAATAAAGCGCTAGCCAGAATAAACGAGCTAAACCACTTAGACTGCGCCCTCCGAGTTAGAAGATCTTCTTTCAAAAGAATTATGACGCCTCATCGTGAAAGTCGAAATTCTTCGGAAGTCACGAAACCCATGCTCCTTCTAACAACCAGAGAAACAATCAGTAGAGGTACATAGAGTGTCTGGACAATTCAGGAGACTGAGAAAACCAGTCAAATGGCTACGGAAATGAGGAAATACAACTTGATGGTGCCCAAATTAAGTGAAATCCATCAGGCCAAGGGTGGACAGAATAGATTAGATTCGGGAGAGATGCTGCTGTACTCTGGTCACGAGGAAGAAAATGTGCTGCACGCTCAGGGTGTTGCACTGATGCTGTCCAAAGAAACACTTATAGGATGAGAATCTCATCAACCCAGGATCATCAAAGCATCCTTCAAAACAAAGAAGTGACTATCAGGACTCAGTATATAAATCGATAACGCAATAGTATTTAAAATGAACGGTACTGTGTTCGAGTCTGAGAGTGAACATCCAGTTGACTAGTCCCAAAAAGAACGAAACGCGCTTCCTGAATTCCACTGCTAGCCGCTATCCATCTTTGCTTATAAAGAGGGGGGGAAATCAGAATCAATGTTACCAAACATTATGCACCCATCAATGATGGCAATAAAGACGATAAAAATCAGTCTCATGAGAGGCGACAACCAATCATAGCCAAGTGCTCAGGAAAGGACCTGACCATCCTTATGGGAGACCTAAACGCCAAAGTCGGAATGGACAACATCGGTTATGAAGATATCATGAGACGACATGGACCAGCAGAAAGGAACGAGGATGGTGACAGATTTGTAATTTTATGTGCATTCAACAAAGTGGTTATATATGGCACTATATTCCCCCGCAAACACATACACAAAGCTACATGGGTATCACCGGGACACACTATAGGGAATCAAATCGATCATATTTGCATCACTAGAAAATTCAGAAGGTCAATGGAAGACGTGAGAATCAAGAGAGATGACACAGCTTCAGATCACCACCAACTGGTGTTTGCCGAGATGAGTCTGAAGCCAGAGAAGCACCGGACAGCTGGATAAACA